AATTGGAAAGTTAAAGAGAATATATGATATTTGCAGGCGGAAAAAGATTGTATATAATACTATATATGTATTAATTTTTAGGGCCACTTATGTTCCCTTCTCTTTTTCCATGGATACTGACGAGGAAAAGAAAACGAAAAGCTTCAAGGACAAAAATCTTGTATGTCTTCTACCATGAGCAGGGGAGAATCGATCCCATGCATCATTCATTCTTCGATGTCCAGTTCTATTAATTAATGTTGCGTTTCAGGAGGGAGAAGACGATAAAAAATGAAGGACAATACTTGCATTCAATCATGGGTGCATATCTTGTCCACCCACTTACAATTAATATATTGTTTTTCAATTGTACAAGTTCTATAATTGGATGAAGTTGTTTATTTTCTTAATCATTATTAAATTATCATATATGATAAAAATCAAACAAATTTGAGATAGATTAGTTATCTACAGTCGCATAAATGAACATTTTATCATGAGTTGTTATCGATTTGTTCGATACTTATAATTAAATGTCTAAATAATTACAAGTTAATTAATTTTTTCTAGAGATAACAATTAAGAAAATAAACAGTTGTGATTAAAAAAATTATGAGAAGACTAAGTTAATTATAATTATTGCTCAAGGTGGTGCACCCATGGAGTGTATATAACATTTCAAAAACCGAAACCATAGCACTTTATTCTGCACATTAGGTGCAGGAAGTTTGGACAACCACATCCCCAAATTATTTTGAGTTAAATCCTCGGAAGTTCTTTGGATGTGTCCTATTGCTAATTGTACAGTTAAAGAGAAAAGAATCTAGCAAGCGTCAACGTACGTGCTACGTACTTAATGGTTAATGCTATGCATGTATCTGGAAGAGATCATACAAGTCTTAAGAATTCCACAATATGTTCTCATTTTCCCACTAATTATTTATATCATTTCGTGTAGACATGTATAAACTACTACAGTTGGGGGCTTCTCTTATCCTTAGGTCCTCTCAAGATGACAATGGAATTAGGACATAAACCATATCCAAAATAATAGTATTTGTGTTCCTCATACGGTGTGCACATATCTCACCTTCTATGAATCAGAATAATGTATATTCATCGTATAAATTTCATAATCTAAACCATCCAGTTTCTTAGTCTTCATTTAAAAATCATCCCTATGAAAAAATTATTCGAATCAAAGATCGTTTAGTTATCCAAATGTATAAAATAAAAGGACACTTTGGATGCGGTCCCTAGCTATCAATATTATTTGATTGAAACCTTGTTAGTTTTTAGTTTTTGATTGAGGCCCCTAACATTAATGTAATAATATAAGTTACTGTATTTTTTAAATTAAAAATTAAAAATTAAAATTGTAATTGTTTATATTAATGAGATTTTAAATAAAATCCATAATTTACGGGATTAAAAATAATAAAATATAAATTATACTCTCTATTGTATATGTGTGTGTGTATACACATATATGTATGGGTACATTAACCAAAATTAACAAAAAAAGTTATTGTACCAAAACATGGATACATTCTCAAATCAACGAAAAAGAATGTACCCATATAAGTTTAAACATGGATTAAAAAATTTGAATGGATTTTATATTAAAAAAGGGTACATTTTACATATAACAAATTGATATATTTGAGAATGGGTACATTTAAGATTAAAAAAATTGAAAAATTATATGAATGGGTACATTTAAGATTAAAAAATTGAGAATCTTTTTATATATATAAAAAACTAATAGGTACAAACTTAATTTAATTTAATTTTTTATTATTTTGGAAATGTTTGAATTGAAAATTAATTAGAAGTTTAATAGAGGTGTGAGTATTAAACCCTAAATTAATTACTAATTTTTATATTAAAAAATTATATAATAAACATGTAAATTCATTATCACATTAATGCTAGGGACTTGAATCAAAATTTGAGAACTAATAAGGTCTTAGTCAATGAACAGTAAGAACTAGGGACTAGATACTAATTTTTCCTAAAATAAATGGGCACTTCATCGTGAATATGTTACTTGGTACTCATATTGTCGATTTGTTTCATGCATTTAGATAACTAAACGATCTTCAATTCGAATGATTTTTTTATAGAGATTTTCAAATGGAGATTAAAAAAATAATTGATTCCGATTATGAAATTTATATAGTGAATATAGGTTATTCAAAAGAAGTGAAATGTATATTCTCTCATGGGAAATGCAAGTATTGATGTTGCTAGCTAGCTACACAAGCAACCCACACATCTACACTAGAACTAGCTAGGAGAAAAGTTTCTAGGTTTTCAAAACACCAGCTTAGAATTGGCAGTTAATTATTAAATTTTCAGCTAATTCTGATATTTAACAAGTAAATGAAAAAAATGAGTATAAATTTATAGATTTGCAGGTAAATATGAAGAGCTCCTCCAGCAACAGTCGAACATATCATTTAAGATTTCTCGAGTGGTTAAAATTTTAAAAGTTACAAGAAAAAAGACTATAAGCCTCTAACGTGTCTGAAATGTAACTACTTTCTAAATTTCCCTCAAAATATATTACATATTGGCAAAACTGATCAGCAAACTCCATTTTCTTATGTTTGTGTATCATTTCTGGTACTGCGGAAGTTTCCTGATAATTACGAATGACTTTTAGAGTTTTGATCTTAATCAACACTTTAAAAACGGTTATAGAGAGACCTCTTTTATGTGTGTGTGTATATATATATATATATAATATATATATATATGGGTTAAACTCTGTTTACTACCCTGAAGTTTTGTGGTTTTCAACATTTAGTACATCAAGTTTTTTTCGTCCCAGAGTCATACCTAAAGTGTTAATTTTGGGACAGTCTCATACATCTGTTAGTCAAACTGTTAAATCTACCGTTAACTGATGACGTGGCGCCCATGTGGATAATGACTAGGCACCACGTGTCGTTAAAAGGTCCACGTGGAATTATTTTTTTTTTTGTGAAGGGGTTCAAAAAAAAAAAAAAGTGGTTCCTAAAACTACAGCAACCATGACTTTATCTTCATCATCCCAAACCCCTCATCCTAAACCCATCTCAATCTTCATCTCCAAAAATCCAGAAAAATCAACAACCCTACAAAAATCGAGCTAAAACTTTCAAAACCCAAATCAAATCTCAGCCCCAAATACCCTCTAAACCATGAAAAAAAAAATCAAACAACAAAGAAATCTGGAAAATACAATAAAAACCCAAATCCAAGTTTCCGTCGATCCGCACGCAGAGCCATGAAGATCAGAACTTTGAAGCTCCGAGAGGCCCACAAGCCCACGAGCAGCGGCGGGGGGCCGTCGTACTGCTCGGTGTCGTGGAACCAGCAGGCCTACCACGTAGTGACGGCCTCCTCCTCCGACCCCACAATCGCCATCCACGACTCTCTTATCTTGTCCAGCCCTCCCAAGCTCCTCCGCCACCACCGCGACAGCGTCACGGCTCTCGCTCTCAGCCCCAACTCCACCTACCTCACCTCCGGCTCCGTTAACTACTCCGTCAAGCTCTACAAGTTCCCAGTCCCTATCTCCCAACCAAGTAAACAAACAACACCAAGATCTGAATTTCCATCCAAAATCAAATACAACCAATTAGGGTTTCGTAATATGAGAAATTGGGATCTGAGATTTGGGTATAACAAGGAGAAAAATAACAAATTCATAATAAAGTTTGAAGCTTTTAAATATACAAATATGCACTAGAATGTAAATGGCAGGTTAATAGTACAAGAACCCATATATTCAAATTTTAGATAGAGAAAGAGAGATTGTGAGAGAGAAGAGAGAAGATAGGAGAAAGGAGAGAGAAAACTTACTCAGGTGGGTGTAAACGGTTCTTTAGGGTTTTGCTCTTCTGGCGAGAGAGAGAGGAGAGAGAAACCTGAGAGAGAGAGAGAGAGAGAGAGAGGAAAAAGGAAAGAGGAGAGGAGAGAAAAGAGAGGAGAGAGGGGAGCGAGCGGTGGAGATGGAAGCTAGCGCGGGCGAGGGAGGCAAGGGGCTTACTGTCGCACCAGTGGGGAAGACAAAGGGGGAAGGAATCCAGCCCTTTTTCCAATGAGGAAGACAAAGGGGGGAAGTGAAAAAGGGGTTTTGTTTTGTTTTTTTTTTTATTTTGTTTTGTTTTTTTTTAAGTACTTTTATTTAATTAATTTTTTAATTTTTTTTAATGACACATGGCGTCCAGTCATTGTCCACATGGGTGCCACGTCATTAGTTAACAGCAGACTTAACAGTTTGACTAACGGATGTATGAGACTGTCCCAAATTTAACACTTTAGGTATGACACTGAGACGAAAAAAACTTGATGTACTAAATGTTGAAAACCACGAAACATAAGGGTAGTAAACAGTCTTTTACCCTATATATATATATATATATATATGTGTGCTGTGTTTGAAAATTAGGGCCAAGCCGACCCCTAATAAACCTAATTAATGCCAGTTACACAGATTTTCTTCTTTCAAATGATTAATGAGCCACCAAGAAAAAGAAAGAAACACTTAAAAGCATATTCTTTGGTCTTTTTAGGAACTTAGGGATAAACTCACAAGTGATACTAGAAAGACTATCCATTTAAACGATATTTTGTAGACCAAATAATTGGCGGTTGATGGTTGAATTTAAACATAAATATCATTTAAGAAAGAACCTAACCACATCATATGACTTACAAAATATAATCCAAAAACATGGTCTCCCTAACAATTCCCTAAACTAATTAACTAGCAAGTATGATGATTTCTAATACCAAATGACATGCACTTTTTTAACTAATCACACCAAGTCACTTTTGGCATCTGAGAAAGCACAAGGAATAATCTTCCTTCCTCTTACCAAAGGCCATAGAAGGGCATTATAGCCATTGAGAACCCCATTACCAAAGGCCGCATAACCTCATAAATTAAACCCTATAAATTGCTGCCACACCTCCCTCGTTTCTCCACCCTAAACAAAAAAAACCTATTAGAGAATAAGAAGAGAGAGATGAGTCCTGCAACCACAAGCGCCATATCAGCAACCACCAAAGTCCACAACCTATGGAGGTCCCCGCTGCCGTACCTCTTCGGCAGCTTAGGTTTAATGCTGCTACTCATTTCTGTTGCATTGGTCATCCTCGCGTGTTCATACCGCAAACCCTCTTCGGGTGAAGATGATGAAGAGAAGCCAGCAAAGCCCATGAGCGCAGTTCTTGACGATGAGAGAAGGATTGCAATTGTCATAATGGCCGGCGATGACAAGCCGACGCATTTAGCTACAGAGGTGATCACTCCAACAACTCACCACTGTACTTGCTCCTCTGAGACCGATCAGAAAGTTTAAGGGGATCATAAATTAAAAAAAATTGGTCTATTTAAATAGAAAATATGAAAAGAAAAGGTTGAAATGTCTTTGTAAGTTTTTTTGTTCCGGTAGGGTGGACTGTTGTGGTTTCACCTCGAGCTAGTCTCCTTTTTATTAAAAAAAAAAGAGAAAATAGCGACTAAATTCTATCCCTTGATTTGGAACTTCTTTCAATTTTGTTTCCAATTGTTTGTTGTTTTTTTGTAATTCTCTATAAGAGTTTGGCGGGAATATGTAAATTTATTATGAGCTAGTATTGGAAAGTCGAAGTTTTCTGAGCAATCATATTTTATAGCCAGGAACCTGGGTTTAATTGCTCCTGATATATTAATTGATTAAAACGTATATCGATCAAAATTTGTGAACAGAGAAAGAACAGTAGAATAATTTATAGGGCTAGTGTTTTTGGTAAAAATGTTTTTAGAACTAATTTTTAGTAAAAACGTAATTGAATCATAGAAAAATACTTAAAGTGTTTCCGGAAAGAAACACATAACTCAGGCTTATTCAGGAAGCACTTCAAGTGTTTTTAAAACCCAAAAACATTTTCTCTAAAAATGCTCATTTTAAAAGCACTTCCAAACACACTCTTAGAGAAATCTGAAATCTAATTATATCTTGCTATAGTATTGTGGGTTCGATCGTCCACGTTCAGTTAATATTTTCTGAAATTTAACCACGGTAGTAGTGAGGTGGAAACCTAATTACATCTTCTGCGTTCCAACTGAACCATCGGGTCTAATACCACTTTTTGAGCACAGCCTGTATCATCCCTGTTACGCCTATATTGTTCCCCAGTTTAATTATTTTGTACCATTCGGAAATTCAATATTGGTGAATTTTATCTTAAGGGCTCGGTGCAAGTTAAAACGATATAGTAAATGTTGGATATATAGTCACTTATTTGATATGGGAGAAGTGTACTAAAAATGTTGCGATTCGAGAAAATCCACCAAGCATAATAATAAGTTAAAAATACTTAAAGCGTCCTTATAATTGTTGCGATTCGAGAAAATCGTAAATTGGAAAGTGAAAAAAGAAATCGGTATTGGATCTTTTAGCACCCCTGATCGGTCTAATTTATAACTTTTCAAGTTTTAAATTGCATATTTTAGAAGAAAAAACAAAATTTTGGTTACATATGAGTTAGTAAGCATAGTAAAATCATAACATGTTTTAGTAAACTCAAAGAAACCAGAGAAATGATAAGGGGACTCTCTCAAAATGAGAACTTTTCATAAACTCTCTGTCACCTCAGAGTCTAACGTCAATTTTTTTTGTGCCAACATATAGATGAGAGTCTCACTTTTAAGAGAGTCCTCTTAGCATAATCAAAATAATTACAATTTTGATTTCCTTAAACCCTAAACGCTAAGCCCTAATACGCTATAAAATTCCAAATGGGGTTCATTGTACTTGGACAGAAAGATGAGCAAAATTAAGACGTGCAGAAATTATTCAACTTGAGCATTCTTTTATTTGAGAAACCAAGGAACTAAAGACTCAAAAAGAGAGCCAATTAGATATCTAATTGGGAGGTGATGGCTGATGATTCCTCATCTGAGTGCTAGAAATAAGGCCATTGGAGGATACAGAGCATCTTGGCATTTGAGAGTTTCCCTTTCTGCTGTTGTCAAACAGTATTTCATTAGTCGGCACCGATGGCTATGAGCCTGTGAGACCATCAGACCATGACTTTGCTTTGCCTAAAAAGTTGTTTTTTGTTGCTGATTTTATGTTTAGTGCGCTTTAGACGCGGCGGCATGTAAATGCAAATAGGATCTATAATGATGCCCTAGTTGAACGGCTTTGACAAAAGGGTCTCTTGGCACTGTGCCTAGTGGGGGACATGTGCGAGGTTTATTTTTCAACTTTCCTTTTGGTAAACAAAGATATACTAGTTTCTTGCGCACACAAGTCACTATAAATCGTAAATGCATATTATATGAATGATTAAGAAACGTTGATGCATATTTTATAAAGTTTTGGAAGATATATATAAGATTTTAACGTTAATACTCTCATATATATATATATAAAGAAGATATGCTAATTTTCCGGACTTCTGAATGAATGTGAATTGGTGATGAACGTAGATAGTGGATGCCCTGGAGGGCAAAATTGCCTAACTTGCCCCTTGTACAAAAGTCTTCATCATTCGGGTGGATATATACTGAGGATATTCCACGTCAAAACTATAGTTTGTATTTAAAACACTGTGGCATGGACAACTCTTTGATCATCTCAATATCAACCATAGTGTACTTTGTACCTACGGAAACAGAAGCTTTCCACTTCTTTTGCGGCTTACCTTCCAATTATATTATCAATTATTTTTGTTCTGGGAAATAAATTAATGGTAGGCAAATGCACCATTTGGAATGATCTCAAGACATAGCAGAGAGTGCCCTTACACAAATGTTATATACAAATATGATATTACTTCATTACTTTCTTTTGGTTTATTTTTGGAACATCTACAATCATGTGGAAATTTTTCAGATCGACGGGCCAAGGGTCTACTCCAACAACACCGATATTGTCCCCATTTAACCACATGCACAATTATCAGATGTGGGGTTTTATCACAAAAGGCATCGGTATTAGTTAGAGTGAGGCAATTCTATATAAATGGGGTTTTTCCCTTTCCTCTGTCCGATGTGGGACATAATCGGGTTCTAACACTCCCCCGCACATGAGACCCCATTTATAGGTCACACGTGAAATTCCACACATCGACAACCACGTGGAGCTATGTCGGGACTCACCCAATCACAAGGGACCAATGGGGACCCACCCAATCATGTGCCCGCCCCCTGACTCTGATATCATGTGGAAAATTTTCAAGTCAACGGGCCGAGTTCCCACTCCAACAACACCGATATTGTCCCCACTTAACCACCTGCACAATCCTCAGGTGTGAGGTTTTATCACAAAAGGCCTCGGTGTTAGTTAGAGTGGGGTAATTCTATATAAATGGGTTTTTGCCCCTTCCTTTGTCCGATGTGGGACAGAATAGGGTTCTAACATGTTGAGAGTTGTCCCACATCGGTGAGAGACAAGGTTTGCCATGTGCTTATATGGTCTTGGGCTACTCCCCATATTGCCAATTGGTTTTATGGTGGAACCTCAATTTTATCATGGTATCAGAGCAAGTTGTCCTCGTGTGAAGCTAAACGGCCACACACGCTCCACGTCACCTACATGTAGGCTTGAAAATCCATCACACATGCGGGGGCGTGTTGAGAGTTGTCCCACATTGGTGAGGGACAAGGTTTGCTATGTACTTATATGGTCTTGGACTACTCCCCATATTGCCAATTAATTTCATGGTGGAACCTCAATTTCATCAATCATTCTTCAAAGCCTTCCATGTTTTAGAGTTTTATTTAAAATATTCATGTACATGCTTTCAGTTTATTTGTTGATGCATGTATCTTTTTTTTATGAATTTTGGTATGCATACAAGCATTAACAAATGAACTAAAAACAAATATTTAAATATGATTTCCATTTTTAGGTTTTCCAAGAATTTTTTTAATTATATATTTGAGTACATATTCATTTAGTATTACGGTTTAGTAACATTCTTATCCAGTTCTAGGTAAGAGATATTAAATTCAACATATATAGATGGTGAGTTCAATATCAATTTACCATGGCAGGTTTATTATGTAGCTCAATCTAATCCATTCACCATTTAGTGCAAATATACCATTATTATGAATATATATACGTGTATATATATATTCACGCTTCAATCCCTTTATACACTCTCAGATTAAAACTTCCTTTTATATGCTAAAATGTATTTTTAATAAAAAGAAGGTGTTTATTAAATAAAGAGATTTGTTATTGGCATTCTAAAAATATCATCATGCACTCATCTATGCATTATTTCTCTCTTATGTTTTCATATAAAAAGTGCACACTTACATTTTTGGAGTGCTAAGAGCACTTCCACTGTTTGATGAATTGCCAAGGCAAAAGACCAGATTCCCCCGTTGGGAAAATGGAGTCTTAATGAAATACTCCTAGTATTATTCACGTTTAACGTTAATGACATTTTTACTATGAAAAGTCACTCATGATACTATTTACTTACAATAATATTTTGTCATTTTGATTAAAACTAAAATTTTTTAGGAGTTTTCGTTAAATTTCATTTGGGAAAAAAGGTCTCCATTGGTTGAATCTTGACCATGCAAGTAGTGGGTCACTTTAAGCCCGAACTCAAAGAGCCGCCTGGAGACATATGACGCAAGACTGATGTCATGCTACCATGACAATTTTTGAATGGATGAAATTCACTATAAAGCAATTACTATTGAGCGTTTATAGTGACTGCCTTAACCTTCTATTGCCCCTTGTCATCATGGCAGAATGAGTGTACTTGTGCTTAATAACAATACCTTCGAGAAATAACGAATGACAACCCTTGAAGAAAACCAAATAAAACCATAAAAGAAAATGAGTATTTAGCTCAAATCATTAGGGCAAAATTTCAAATTAATGAGAGCTAATATGGATTTTGATAAAATATGAGCCCAAATTCGATATTGGGCTTATAATCGGGTGGAGGCTCCTAAATCAATCCTACCTAATCACGTTTTACATCATAAGATTTTGGTACTTAAGTCAGCTTAGATTTTGTTGCTTGTGTTTGACATTTGTAGCTACAAAATCACTGAGAAAACGTGTAAACCATGTATCATGTGAGTTAAAGTGCTACTGTGTTATGACATTAAAATGTTAGTGGGAAACAATCCAAAATTAAAAAATGATTTACGTTTGGAAAATTTGTCTTATCAACCGATTATATTGATTCATGCATCTATCATCGATCTTTGTTACTTTGCTTTTAACTTATCGTTTTCAACTTTTTGACATTTTCTTTTTATACAACCAACATTGTGAGAGAGAAATCGAACTTAGGACCTTGGGCGTAAAGTTGAGTGTTCTTAAGTAACTGAGCTACA